CCTTGAAGTGTAAACTTGTTTAATAAACCATATCTTTCATTTTCGATTTTTAATTCACGTAGTCCGGGAACTTTCCGGACAAACTGTGTATATACGCGAGTACATACGCGGGCGCGCATAATTATCGCGCTAATTATTACTACGCGGCTAAGTACGTGGATGAAATTATCACCAAGTAGGGACTGAAGTGCAGAAAACGAAATGCTGCTCTCGGATATCTCGCCAGCAGCAGAATTCTCGCCTGACTAGCTTCAGAAAAGTAACTTCCTTAATTACCGAGATTAACTTAATAGTAATATCGAGGCTACACGAGATTATCGCTCACGAAACATATAATTGCCGCTCGAAAATGCGCACGACAATGGAAACAAGTAAATATATATCTCTCTAAAACTATAGTTTATATTTGTTTCGTATTTTCGACGAATCGTTCCGAATGCGTCTTATTCCAAAACAACAGTACTTGCAGCATTCAATTTAACACGTTTTAACAACAATTATTTGCAGCGATGAAAAAAAAAACAGTCGTTTTATAGAGAAAATTTACATCTAACGTTATCTAATTGCTTCTTGAGATGCGACACACGTGAGACAAGTGTGAATTTTAATTAATTTCTATTTTGTTACTTGTTTCCCGAGACGTCTAATCCGCGTGTGTGTACGATGCATGCGCAGGCGCATCCGTACGCGCGGCTAATCGGTGTACAAGTATCGAGACTACACACGTGCAGCCGACCGAGCGCACTCAAGAAAGGCCCATCTAATTACGGATTTAGATTAGCCTTTATAATAAGCGGGAGCGAACCAGCTTCGGCTGACACTCACCTGAGGTGATCTGTGACTGATGTATTTGGGACGTCGTCCTGACGCGAGTTTAGCTAGCGGCTCCGTTATTTTACCTCCGCCACGGTGTAATTCCGTCGCGGTTTCCGTGCCGATCTTTGCCGATCCGACAATATATATCTTGTCTTGCCCTCGTGCCTTTCGATTGCGCTGCGATTGCACCGACACGACTTGCGCGCTTCAAATTCTCTCGATGATTCTCCGCCGTCTTCGTGGCACGCGCGCGTGCTCACGATTCACCGGTAACTTTTCTACAACGAATATTAACAGGCCGTGCTGACAGCGATCGTGGATCGAGAAGGGGACGAGTCACTGATACATCGGCCGCCGATGACATCAGCCTACTTAATTACAACGGGTAATTGCGAGTAATTAGGAGCGATTAAGAGGCAAACAGTTAATTGCACGCGGCTTGATAAAACATTGCTTGGTCGATTCAACCTCCTAGTTTTCCGTACTCGCTTGTGCGAAACAATCGGATAAAACTTGGAAGACGACGGCGTCTATCTCTCTCTCTTTCTCTCTCTCTCTCTCTCTCTCTCTTTCCTTGAGCTGTTTTCCACAAAATATTCCAAACAATCAGGATGTTTCCGAGACAATATTCTTGCTGATTTAATCTTACTTGACAGATAATCGGCAGATAGCGCACCTTTACGTGTAATGAAGTTTTAATTATTTTATTTGTGCCTGCCGCGAGAGCTCTTGCGCTTCGTAACGTATAATTTCGCGTTGAAAAACACTGACGTGTCCACGCGATGATCACGCGCGTGTCGTAATTATCAGCGCACTCGTCGCGATAATTAGAAGCTTATTAGAACCGGAGTCCTTGTCTCATCGTTTTCTGTTGCACAGTGATGACACACATGCGTTGCTGGAGGAAGATTGTGCGTTCTTTTCTCGGCGATCGATCGGCAGATCGATCTGTAATCTCACGTCAAAACTTTTCGAGTCTCTTTTTTTTATATGTTAATTCTTTTTCATCTGTGTTCTTGCGCACTTCCCGCGACTGAACGTTCTCACACACTTACGCGTGATTTACACTTGACAAAGTGTAAATCGGAACCAATCACCGTAATTTGAAATAGCTAACAAGAAAGTCAACTCCTCGAATTGATGTTTCTTCAATCGCACGTTTCACTGGACAAATGTCACAGAGTTCACTTGCGCTTACCAGTCCGCGAGGCGCACCGAAAGAAGTCCCACCCCTGCGGCCACGTGCTGATAGGCCGGACAAATCGGCGGCGCACGCAGCTGCACGTTTAAACTTACTCGGTCACTCCTTAGTCCACAAACACTGCCTATTCACCGAGAACACGTCGCGAGCGATCGTTGCGAGCAATCGTCCCAGATCCTGGCTCCTGTTTCCCAACGATTAGAATCTTCCAACTTCCGCAACAGAATTTCTTCTCGTTCCGTGATCGGCACTGCGAGCGACGATCCAGTTTTCGCACTGATCCGGCGTCTCGAAGAAAAAGCAAGCGATCTATTCCTTTTCCTCGTGCCTATCCTTGTATCCGTAGCAGCGTGGTCGTGCACGTTGCGCGGTCGGAGCTCGACGCGAAAACTCGGACCTAAACCCTGACGGTCCGCAGTCTGGCTGCGTAGTGGCCCCGGTATATAAGCGAGGGAAGACAACCCGCCGTGACGACTCTCCCGCCAGGCGGACGGCAGTCGTAGAGGGGGTAATATGGGCGGTACAATGGGCGGTACCGATGCGCGGAGGTGGTCCGCGAGTTACTCGCGAGATCCCGTTGTTATGATTGTTATGAGTGTCCGAGCTGCCGCCCGCGATGCACTTTGGGGGTGGTACGCCCGCGAGAGGTACCTCTGTCCGTCTCTGTTTTTCCATCGTGTTTGCATCTCGCTCGCTCTGTAATATAACCACCACGAGCTCGAACGAGCTCGTAACCGTGATGCAAATCAGCCCGACGGGGCTGGTGAGTTCGCCGGCGGGGATGCCCGGGAGGAGCGATCGGCACCGTGGACCGATACGAGACTCCCGGAGAGTTCGCCGCGGAGGGAAAGATGATCGGTACATAGGTAGCGGTGTGATTTTAAGGACTGATCGGTACTCCGTTTGTTGAACAGTTAACAGGTAAGAAGGTCGTTTGGAGAACATTTTTGCGACGTCGCTCGTTATAAGAAAAAAAAATTGCATATTTGTCTTCTACTCTCTCACAAATAAGTTTATATTTTTTATGCCGTTTAATTACCGATATTTAATTGTTTAGAAATAGACAAATTTGCGACTAAATGCTTGTCAATTACTCATAAAATTGTTTATGAGTGGAAGAGATATCAAATGTCTAATATTAGTGAAAACAGATCTTTCTTGTAATGTAATACGAACGTGTGTGTTGTAATAAGATATTAACACAACGAATTCCATAGAAATTGGCGAAAATAGCATTTCATTTGAAAAGCACGTACGTAGTAAATTGCTATAAACTTCCTCTCCAACGATAAAATTTCTTCTTCATTGGTTTCATGAAATGAGAAAGAGAGAAAACATTTTGGTACAAAATTGTTAAACATTAGAAAAACAAATCGTGCGGAAAATAATTAAAAAATGTTGTCTTAAACTGCTGAAAAACAACTTATTGTTATTTTTACTTGAATGGCGCGTAGAAGACGATTATTCGAACGTGTCCGATTTGTTCTTTTCTTTTCTTAAGCGGGGGGACAAACAGAAGAGGGTTTAGATGCATTATCGTCGATCAAACGTGATGTAAATATTTTATCGAAACATTTTATGCTTTAACCCATCTGTGATGGGTTGATTAATGCGAGTCCAACGATACTGACGTCCGTGTCATTTCGACTGTTGCTCAAGATGGATGGGATCGGTCACGGAATTTCGACAGAAGCTTTAACACGTGATAGGTGCGTATCGTGGAAATGGCAGTCCATTTCTACTTCAATTCCTATCACGTAATTACGCAGTTTGGGTTACATTATACCAACCGTGGAGCCGCGCTAATACCATTAGATTCATTCGGACATTAACTTTTATGGACAATTACAAGTGCGTCGGAACGCGACATTCTCGCGCGTACAACCCTCCGACGACGTGACCGAAAGGGTACAACGGCCTATGAAGTTTTAATGATGCTTTAACGTTTTGTATAATATGAGGTTTTGAAGAATACTATTTTCTGTAAAATCTACAAAACGTTTTATTCGTCGCAAAGACAATTTTAAATCATTTTAAATGTCTATAGCGTACGATATATATTATCGTACGATATATTATCGCATAATATTAAAAAAATTGTGTGTATATGTGTGTTTTCAATTATATAAAAAACGATATATGAAAGTAAATCGTCTATACAATTCTCGCTAATTATATTTTGCTCGACTTATATTAAATGCGATTTCGATCAAATATTATACGGGATTCTATAGTTCGATTCCTAATACCAAATCAAAATGAAATCACTGACATGATTCGATTACAAATCCATTCCGACGCGTACAAAACTGTAGGCGTACGACGTTACACGCTACGCGAGTTGGAAGGGTGCGTTTATTAAGATAGAATTTTACCCCTTTCCTGTGTATACGTGTATGTGCGTGTGCGTGTCTCTACGTGTCGCCCTCGCCGACGCCACTGACACCGTCCGCACCCTCGGTGTTTTAATGTTCTCCCCTCAATTTCTCCGTTCTCTATCCCCGACCATATTCCGCCGTGATTCGACCCTTAGACACGATTCGAGCGACCCGATGGCCAGTTTAGTTTAAACATTGGTCCCATTCTTCGTGAAAAATCTTTCGTCGCATCGAAACTCTGATTACATGAGCTAAATTATTATAGTTATTGACAACTTCGTCATGTTACATAATTTTTTTATTGTTAATTATGAAGCACGCAAAGCTAATAATTAAACTCGGGGAAATTTTGTTTTAAAAGGAAATTTTTTAATCGGTCAAGAAATTACATGTCTCTTAAAATAAAATTATTCGTTCAATGTATATTTACTGACGTTATATGCAGGTACGGGAAGGAGTTTAGTTCGGTTGTCTTGCGTGTATCTAAACTGGAATAAATAGAGCAAATATTTTGTGTAACCAACTTAATCGTCTCTATTTCGGTTTTAGTCGAATTACTGTGACGTTAATAGCGACGAGAGAAAATAACCTTTTGCATAATAAATTATTTCCAAGACGAGCGTCACACATGCATGAGTACCTACACAAATTAATCAGACCGTCTCTGACAATAATTTTCAGCTTGGTTTATTTCGAGAGGAACGTCACGTTGCGCGCTCTTAAGATCTTAATATAAATGCGAAAGTATATAAATACTACAGGTGCAAAGTCACGTTATATCGCTCGGTCAATGAGACTCAACGCGTGTATCGGTCGTCCTTTTTTCCCGGCGAGCGTGTACGTCGAGCGTCGACGTGGAAGAAGGGAAAGTCTCTTACACGAAATATACGAGGAAATGAATGAATACGGCCGTCCTTCTTCCTCTCAAAGGTCCACGTGCTTTTCACATATAACTCGTCCCCGTAGAGGCAGGAGTGTAGCCAGCTGGTGGTTGAAGTTGTAGGAGTCGGCAGGATGTGGGTCTCTACTCTCTCGCCCTGTTCCTTTCTATCCCGCTTTCCCGCTTTCCCGCAGAAAACGTCTCTCTCGCTCGTGCCAAACCGGCGACACTCGTCCCACTTCCTGCAAACGTGCCCGTCCTTCTCCCGCCTCTTGGCCGACGTTCTCTCCCTCGCTTCTCCTCCTCCATACACCGCCGACTCATCCCCCCAGTACCAAGGGTGCTTCGTCTTTCTCCCCCGTCCCACCGGATCGATTAAAACTACAAAGTGTTGCCTCTCCATCCGTTGGTACGCTCATTCGTGGTCGACTACATTGCTCTGGCACTCTCCTGGCGGCACTGGGTTACCAACTCTTTCCCGGTTCCCTCTCTGTTCTACCGCTCGCGTGCCGTTCCGTCTTTCTCCTTTCAGCTCCACCGCCGTCGCCTCTTTTTTTGTCCTTTTATCGGAGGATCTCCGTATTCATGGGCGTTCGCTTCGCTTCCTGATAATCCCCGCGTAAAACTTCTCTGTCCCGTCGGGATTGCTCTCGCGCACTACGCCTTTCTCCCCCCTTTCGCTCGCGTGAGGAACATCGGTGTCGTGCGCCACTTCTCACCTTCAAGTTTTCGTTTTACCCAACGCGGAACAAAAGATTTTCTCTTGACTTGTATTAATGCTAATTTTAATGCTCAGATAACTTTGCAAGAAAAAAAAAAAAAACACGCGATTTAGATACTTATTTTTCTAATCAGGAGTTTGCTTGCAGAAACGTTTGTTTGTTTTATATACACGTCTTCTTTTGGTCATAAAGTTTGTAAATAATTACACACGTTTTGTAATGTAAAGTTAATTGCATCGTTATAAAAAAAGTCAAAGATTATTGAAGATAATAGCCGTTGTTATACGGACAAAACGATCTCAAGTCGCTGTGCACATTGCGGTATCATTTGTTATATTTATAAAGTAATGAAATTTCTTTCGGAACAACACACAAACCCGGAGAAAGATTAGTCAGATCTTCCTCTCTCAGGTGAAAGGTAAAGCGCGATTATATCCCCAGGGTCCTGTCAGTATCCTTCCCGGGGCCTTGCTCGCTTTAAGTCGCAGCAACACGGGCTAATAACAGAGCCAGTAGAACCCCAAGCGGTCTTTACGACCGTGTTCCCAGAAGTATAAACCCCGGACCCTCACCGCACCATTCGTCCGAAGCTACGTCCCACCTCACCTGCATCGTTCTTACGGTCCCGCGAAATTTTGCAAGGGCTAATTAATGCGAGAGGCCTTCGACAACAAAGTTGCTCGCTCGCGTGATCGCTCTCTTAAGTATCGCGTTCGGGAAGCACGAGAAGAGAAAAAGCAACTGATTCGGGAGAATGAAGACGAGTAAGAATAGAGGCGCCAGGATGAGCGGACGAAATAATGAACCCTTGGCGACGATCGTGATAGGATGTTACGAAGATTGTCACGAATATATATGTAAGATTCTCTCGCATGTTCCGACACTTTCTTTATGCGTTCGGATGAAGTATGAGGCAGGGGAAAAAAGGGAAGAGAGGAGAGGGGACGCGAAGAACAGAGTCCGAAAAAAAGAAGAGGCATCGGCGCTTCTGACGGAAGAAACTTCTCTTCTCGCGTGACCACGTAATGAATGGCGGGGAAATTATTCTCAAAAATTGTTTTCTTATGTCGCCTCTGACTGCGCGAGAAGATGCGTTAGCAGGTGTTCGACGGAGATAATGCTCGGAGATGAGCGGCGCATACAAAACGGCCATTTCTGACGGAGCTATCCAAAGGAACATCTCTTTGTGATCGTTTCCCCACTGACCGATAATTTCGCACCTCATTGTTGGATAATAACCGTATAGCAACATTGTGGTATCCTTTCGATACCCACTTCCGATCGGGGGAACTTTTCACACCGCAGCGGAAGATTTCACGAAGCACGAATTTCGTGGGACATCTCGCGCTGGAAGTTGGATATTATACTCTCTCTTTATATTTACGTGCTTTGTGTGTACTCTTTCTCCATTGTTTTTTTTTTTTTTTTGG